ATGTGAATGGGAAAAAATATATGTAAGCGGGAACCTGAGCTGAATCTCATGCACAGGCTGCTTAGCAACACACTGAAGTAATCTCTACCACAGGCAATTTGTTTACACACTTGCACTTCTCCGTGCTAAATAACCACTCTGGGAAACAGACCCAAGAGTAGCATAGCCAGGAGTAATATCATATGAGAGAATACAAATTACGGGACAATTTTTATCATTAATAATTCTCTGTAATTCCATTATTCAGAAATTTCTGAGCTACTATTCTTAAAAGTTAGGGAGAAATTCCTTTATCATATTAGCCATTCACACAGGCAGCTGCCTGCTACACTATAAATATACATTTTCTTACCATGCACTTTATACATCACAATTTAATCACTGAGATTTCATCATTTTTGATTGTGATTATAATCATCTTTATATTTTAATGGAATTATTAACATAAGATGCAATTTGATCATCTGAAAAAGCTGCTAATCAATATTCACAGACAGGCTATGTAGTATTTATTCTCTATCGGTCCTGAAGGTCACAGAGTGAAGGCTCTATGTCACTGACAATGATTTGCTCCTCACAAATATATTGACAAAACACCACAATTAGTCTTGCTTCAATAGGCACACACGATAAAATGAATTAAAAAATACAGCACGCCTCATGCATTAGTGCCTACTTCTGTAAACCCAAAAGCAATACTATTAATAACCCACTTGTGCTCTGTCATTAATTCTAGCTGATTCTTGCACACAAATACTAGAGTCAGACAATGACAGCTACATTCTGAAATAATATTTAAATATGGAACTTACCAACATGAGAAAACGCAGCCACAGAGGGGAAAAGAATAAGACTACTAAACAGCCAGGCTAGAGGAATAAGCAGTCATTGAGAATCACAGTCACTCTGTTCGGACCAAAAGAGGCCAGCGGTCTTCAAGGTTCCTTCCACCCCATGCCTTCATCACTTGAGCTGACACCCTCTGCACTCGGAGGCTCTGCCCACTGAGCTTCTGTCCTTCTCCAAGGGCTCATGCCACCAGTTCGGTGCTAGTGTTCTGTGACTGCACTGGACATATGCCCGAACAGTTAAACAGAGCTGAATTTTAATTCTGTGAGGGAATTTCCAGAGGGCATTTAACATTTGCTCAGCTGGAGCCTGCTATGCTGAGCCTGCGGAGACCAAGTGATAGGCAAGCAGAACTTCCTACTCTTAGAGAAAATGAAATATTGATCACTTATTATAAGAAACAATGACCAGAGCATAAGTAGGTTCCACATTATGAATACAAAATCAGTTATTTACACTTTGACATCACCATCACGTCTATACCTTCAAGTATCATATCACCAAACATACCACACAAGACACATCACACTTCAAGTGTTTAATTGCTTATGCCTCACATGACCTTTAAGGATTTAAAATTAATTTCTCAGAATTCACTTATTTGTATAACACAGATTCATCTAGGCGCATGTGTAGGTAAGGTGAAAGATTGTTTCTGCTTTAGGAAAAATGAAAATCAAAGACTGCTTATTTCGTGAAGAACAGCAACTGTGTATCAGCGACTAAAACTAGGGCACTCTACTTACTAAACTCCATCCTTCCCAACGACCGAGATAACACAGCACCACAAACAGGGTTTAAGAGGCTGGTGCGGGTGCACAGTGGGTGAAACTAGTTAAGCCTCTCAAATGATAATGTTGCTTATTAACCATAGATGTTGTGATAGGTCAGAGCTGAGGTTAAATAGAAAACATCAATTGAACCATTTCCCTAAATAAAGCTCCAGGGTGCAATATTCTAAGCACTTTATTCGATAAAAAATGCTTTTAAAATGGTACTTTGGTGATCGGGAAACACTGCTATCATCCGTCAACCTAACCGCAGCAAAGTTCAATAAGCTAAATAACGAACCATTTAGATGATTTTCCTGAGGCTTTAGGGACTTGCAAACATTGTATCAATAGAGCTCTTTAAAAATTATGATGAAGTCTATTGTTTTCATTTTTCAGATTTAAAACACGTTTTAGGGATTTTTAAAAGGTTATTTAATGTTCTGCTATTTTTAATCATTGTCCAGTTTCCCAAGTAGAGACATTTAGACAAGTAAAAAAACTTAACTGTAAGGTTAGCAATGTCTATATTACAATTTCTCTAAATTCTTAATAATCTTGGAGTCAATGAAATCTCTATTGTGAATTCCCAATTTAAGATTCAAAAAGTATTATGACTTATATTAAAACTTAAAAATAAAAACTCCCAGATACTTTGAATAAAAAATGTGGAATAAGGTAATATGGTAAACATATAATACAGTATTTTTAAAACTTCAAATACAATTTTCTTTGGGAAAAATCTCTAGTCTAGGTTTCTCAGACTTATGATAGAAAAACACTTCTTTTTCAATGCATAATCACATGACATTTTTGAGAATTTCCAGAATGCCATAACAGAAAAAACAATGCATTTAACCCTTTCTTGGTAGGAATAACGGGGGCTTGCCTCCTCCTACAGAGCAGTTGCTTGTGACCTGTGTTTGTCTCACAGCCCACGCTAGAATGCTAAAAAGACAGCAACTGATAAACCTTACAAGTCTCAACTCATCATCTTGTCGGTCGAGATGCCCAGATTCGCTTATGCCTCTTTGCTCAGATTTTCTATTACTAAATAAATAGATCTGACACATACACACATCCTAATTGCGAAAGTGGTTCTGAGTTTAGCTACACAGATTTTTACGTATCTATCAGTCAACACAGTCTATGAACTACAATAGGGCTGATGACTAAAGGAAGCTTAACAACCGAGCCCACTGACAGAACGGGGCAGGCAGCGGCATGCTGGCAGGGAGGAGGAGTGGAGCGCGGGTTTCCACATTTCCTCAAAGCTGAAAAACCCTGTACGATGATGACATTGTATTCTGGAACTTTTCAGAAATCTAATACTTCAACTGATCCCAATTTTCACAGACTTTGCCAATTATTTTCTGAAAAGAGAGAAGTGACAATGTGATTCACAGGAAGGAATTTAAGTTCTTCATCATAATTTCACATTTGTACCAAAAAGGCAAATACCATCTAAACTTTGGGACACGGCCTTGCTAAACTATAGGAAACCAGCTCCTACTTAAACTTCCAATAATATGGCTTTAAGGACCTATATTCCTATAGATGTGTTTTATTCCCCTCCTCCGCCTTGACCAGTAGCTCCCCGCACCATCTTTCCACACCGTCAAGGTTCGCTCAGCAGGCGGCGCTCGTGAGCCCCTGAAAAGAAGGCGGATGTGGCGCAAGGAAGATAAAGCCTGCTGCTCAAAACCTGCAATACACATGGAGAGAGATACCCGCCCAAAAGACACATGGGAATCCTGCGAGCCAATGGGCAGCTGGGGACCCCCGGCCGGGGGTGAGGGCAGCCAAGGGATGTCAAGCTAGGGACGAGCACAGAAGGAGCAAACGGGCGAGTGCTGGGACGCAGCTGCACACAAGCTTGGCACAGCTTTGTTGAACAAAATGTTTTGAATAATTATAAAAGTAATGGAGTGACTACAGAAATTTCAAGTAGTAATATAACTGCATTCAGGAAAAACTAAATGATCCCTTTATGCCAGTCCACAGAAGGCACCACTCAATCCACATGTACCCACCATCACCAATTACTGATGTGTCCAGAAGAGCATCTGCACGGGGCAGTGGTCGAATCCAAGCAGGGAAGCCAAGCCCAGCACCTTGCGAAGGGGCGTGAGCAGACCGGTCTGAACACTGTGCATGGGGATCACCGGAGGGAAGGCGGCAGGCACACGGAGCTACTCAGAGAGGTCTTGGGAACAGAAGGCATTATGTGTTTGACAGCAAAAGCCTGACACGAGGGAAGATTGCACGGCTGCGTGTAAGTGTGCCCGGTCACACCGGGCACGGAGATTCTCACGAAAGGCTCGATGAAACACAGAAGCTCCGGTGACGGTGACCGCGTGGTGACAGAGGAACGTGTACTGGCTGTGACGCAGGGCCGTGCCATCACAGCGGCATCACTGACACTTATCTAGAGACAGGAAGGCGGCGGGAGTGTGGAGAAGGATGGAAAGCCAACCTGCGATCCGCGGAGTCTGAGAGGAGATAAGTGATCCGTGTTCTCAACTTCCCATGTTTATAAAAACCACTTTCACCGTTTTCGTTACTTTTTCACCATCCTTTAGGTTCTTACCTGGCTAATGATGTGTCATAATTACTAAATTGGTCTAGTTTGTTTAGAGTAAGTTAGTATCTTGACTAAACAACAAAAAGAAAAATGCCTATGTAACTAAAGCTTTAAATAAGCAAGCTTGTTTTCCGAAGTCTAGCCGTGGCTTATACTTTGTCAAATACCATAAATCTGCGGGCGCATTTAGGCTTTCTTCTTCCTGAGGTCACTGTATCAGGGGATGTTTATATCTGTCCCCCGGACAGCTTCAGCTGAACCCCCTAAGAGTCACCACCACAAAAAGTGTACAGAAAATTTAAAACATTGGTGGAGGAGGGCCTCACATCCTCACATTCACCCTAGTTTATCAAACTTTAGTTACATAGGCATTTTTCTTTTTGTTGTTTAGTCAAGATACTAACTTACTCTAACCAAACTATACCAATTTAGTAATTATGACATGTCATTACCCATGTAAGAACCTAAAGGATGGTGAAAAAGTAGCCAAAACGATGAAAGTGGTTTTTTTATTTTTTTTTATTTTTATTTTTTTTTTAATTTTTTTTTTTGAGACAGAGTCTCGCTTAGTCGCCCAGGCTGGAGTGCAATGGCGCGATCTCGGCTCACTGCAAGCTCCGCCTCCCGGGTTCACGCCATTCTCCTGCCTCAGCCTCCCGAGTAGCTGGGACTACAGGCGCCCGCCGCCTCGCCCGGCTAATTTTTTGCATTTTTAGTAGAGACGGGGTTTCACCGTGTTAGCCAGGATGGTCTCGATCTCCTGACCTCGTGATCCGCCCGCCTCGGCCTCCCAAAGTGCTGGGATTACAGGCGTGAGCCACCGCGCCCGGCGGTAAAAGTGGTTTTTTTAAACGTGGGACGTTGAGAATATGGATCATTCACCTCAAGTCCTAAAAGTAAGTCAAAGGGAAAGATTTATAAAATGCAATGGTTCTCAATTGTGGGGTGCAACCTTTTAGATTTTCAAAATGGAGAAACGTCCAGCCCCAGCCCAGCATTTCTTTTTGTTTTTTATTTTATTTATATATATATATTTTTTGAGACTGAGTCTTGTTCTGTCACCCAGGCTTGAGTGTAGTGGCGTGATTTTGGCTCACTGCAACCTCAGCCTTCTGGGTTCAAGCAATTCTCCTGTCCCAGCCTTCCAAGTAGCTGGGATTGCAGGAGCCTGCCACCGCATCCGGCTAATTTTTTGTATTTTTGGTAGAGACGGGGTTTCGCCATGTTGGCCAGGCTGGCCTCAAACTTCTGACCTCAGGTGATCCACCTGCCTCGGCCTCCCAAAGTGCTGGGATGACAGGCATGAGCCACCACGCCCAGCCCCGGTCCAGCATTTCTGTAATAGGGGTGCTAGTGTGCATACATAAAAAGTTAAGTATTTTAAAAAAGAAGGAAACCCCTAGACATCTACCTGATGTACAGACAAGTTAAAAAACCCCTTGCTTATGTGTGTATCTTTCCTTCCCAGGAAAGTGGTTCCCACATCTGCACACAGACATGAGAATTGCCTTCAGGACACGAGATCTAGTCCCATGATCCTGGAAGCCTGTGCCCCGTCAGGACACGGTCACAGTGAACGCTCATGGAAAAAAGATGAATGACATTACTGGTTGTTTCCTGAGCCATAAAGTGGTAGAATTCTTCTGCCTCTAGAAGCCTAGACAAGAGACTCCTGCTTTGAGGCAATTTCAAAGTAAAAGTCGCTTGCCACCTTTGGTCAGCTCTGCAGACAGCATAGCTCCTCCTCAATTATCAACACACATTTATTCTGTTCCGTCTTCTTTGGGCTACAAATCGGTTCCAGTTATTACTCATAAGGCAATTTTCCAAACGTTCTAAACTCATAGGTGTATATTCTGACTTCTTACTTAATTTTAATCAGCAAAATGACGATGCCCTTCCCAGCGCTGGAAATGCCGTACTATGCATGATCAGGTGCACACGCCAGCTCTGCTTCCTCATGGTGGCCACAGTCTGTCCCCATTCTCACCTTTCCACGGCAAGGACTTGAGTCTCTGCTGCAAGATGTATTATCACCAGAGAAAGAGGCTCTCTCACGCCCCTCTACTCTTCTTCCTGTCTCTTCTCCACGTGCCTCCCTGTCTGTCTGGCCCACCTGCTGATCAGCAACAGAGGGGTTTTAGGCTCATATTTCCACTGTCTGTGGAATTAGAATTGAGCACCTTTCATATCTATACATTCAGAAATTGAACGAGTATCCTAACACTTTCTAAGATACAAATTTTAGTTTTTTAACCTGTGAATTTGCTTTGTCTTTGTTTAGAATCTTAATTTTCTACTCGTTCAATAGTCATGGAACCTACACTCACTCTGCATCTTCTTTTGTTTAAATAGCTTTATGGAGACACTATTCACCCACTTAAAATGTACAATTTAATTGATTTTAGCATATTCACAGAGTTGTGTAACCAACATGATAATCTATTTTAAAACATTTTCATCCCCCTAAGAGAAACCTTCTACTTGCTAAAGGTCACTCCTCAGCCCTTGACCTTTTACCTGCTGGGGATCACTCCACAACCCCTGATCTTGTACCTGCCGGGGATCACTCCTCCCCTGACCTTCCATCTGCCGGAGATCATTCCTCTCATGACCTTCTACCTGCCGGGGATCACTCCTCCCCTGACCTTCTACCTGCCGGGGATCACTCCTCCCCTGACCTTCTGCCTGCCGGGGATCACTCCTCCACCCCTGACCTTCTACCTGCCGGGGATCACTCCTCCCCCCCTGACCTTCTACCTGCCGGGGATCACTCCTCCCCTGACCTTCTACCTGCCGGGGATCACTCCTCCACCCCTGACCTTCTACCTGCCTGGGATCACTCCTCCCCTGACCTTCTACCTGCCGGGGATCACTCCTCCCCTGACCTTCTACCTGCCGGGGATCACTCCTCCCCTGACCTTCCATCTGCCGGAGATCATTCCTCTCATGACCTTCTACCTGCCGGGGATCACTCCTCCCCTGACCTTCTACCTGCCGGGGATCACTCCTCAGACCCTGGCACCTGCTGCTCTGCTGTCTCCATGGGTCTGTCTGCTCTGGACGTGTCATGGCAATGAAATCACATAGGTCTGCTGGTTGCCTTCTGCACCTGCCTTCTTTCACTGAGCAAAAGGTTTCAAAAGTGCTTCAACACCATCACAGACACGGCTCCTTCCTGCCATTTGTGATTGGATGATGCTCCATGTGTGCGAACAGACCCCATTTTATTGATTGATTGATAGCTGATAGACATTTGGGCTGCCTCCACTTCCCGGCTCTAACACTGCTGTGAACATTAACATACAGGTCTTTGTTCTCATGTCTTTCGGGTGTACACCAAGGAGTGGAATTTTGAGGCATATGGTAATTCCATGTTTAATTGTTTCAGGAACACCCAGACTGTTCTCTAGAGTGGCTGCGCACTGTTCCAATCCCACCCGCAGTGCACGAAGGTTCCAATTCCTCTGCGTCCTCTCAGCACCTGCTATGGTCTGTCTTTTTGATTCCTGTTATCCTGGTGGGTGTGAAGTTGCGTCTTGTCTCTCGGCTGAGATTCTATTCCATTATGGGGGGGACGATGGCGCTCTTTTGTAATAAACTCATCAACCAGAACCACCAGACTCCTCTCTTAAAAACATTAGATCTGATTTTTCTCTTTTTATTTTCACTGAAGGTACCCCCCACCACCAATTATTTATGTATATGACACAGTTTTACAAAGTATCGGAAGATACTAGTTTGTTTACAGTGCTTCTGTGGTTGGCTTGATTACGGAACTATCTCAAGAACCTTGAAGGGACAAAGTGTATATAAAACTGTATATAAAATATACTAAGACATTAATTAAATAAATTTGATAATGATTTTACTGATCTAAAAATCAAAGAATGATGTAAAGTTAGAAATAACTAATTTACCATGTTTAAGATCTTACCATTTCTGTAGGTTTTGGAAATTTACATTCCGATTTTCTTTTGAAATAAATGCCCTGTATCAAAAATCTGGCAAAATATGTGTAAATTTAATATGGAAACCTGATGATTCAATTTGGACACGGAATCCAAAAAACCGGATGATGTAGCCATCCCAGTCCCAAACTTCAACAGTTTTATAACATGCAGCTTTGACACAAGTTAGTTTATGGAATCAGTAAACCTCGCTGGCATTTCTCATGCTGTTCCCTGTGACCAGCCCTGGGTGTTCTGGGATGTGCCGAGACGCGCCGGCCGCACGTCTGCATCTGCAAGGCCCAGGCTACGTCAGAGGCTACATGCTGGAATGAGCTGGGCAGTTTTCAACCTACAGCTAAAACATACATTAAAGCTACGGTAAACTGCTCCTCTATATTCCCCACCCCAGAAAGAATGAATCCTCATGACTTTTGAGTCCAAATGGAACGCACAAGCTCCCACGGTTTTGTGCTCTGACTGACCTCATCGGGGCTGGAAGCCTGGTAGGTGCGGTTCTCATCACTGAAGTCTTGGTCAGCCTCTGCGAACTCAGTCTCCCCAGTAACGCCGGCCCGAGACTCATACACAGGGGTCACGTTGTGACACAGCACGATGGCTTTCACGGCTTCATGGATTCGACTGCTGACACTTTTCCTAACTTTGGGAGCTGAAGATTGGGCTTTTCTTGGTGGAGTTGAACCAGTATTGTTTCCACCAGCTTGAGACTGCATCTTTAGAATATGAAACGTCACGTAATTAAAGATAGAGCAAAGAGATCTCGTTAACATGGAATTATTAACATATATGATTTTTATAAGTGAAGTAGCTAGAAATAAGTAGCCTCATTTGATTCTGATTATCTCCTAGAAAGCACTGATTAATGAGTTATATTTTTAAGCCTAGTACTATGAAGCGCTTTGATACATCCAGGTTGTCAAATACACCAAAATATTCACTATACTACTTAAAAATCTGATAATTTGTTTTGACTGTATTCATTTCAACAACGGCAATGATTTGCTACGTCATTAAACCCCTATTTATTCATGACTTCTAAAAGCAGAGTCAGTTAAAGAACAAAATGAAATGGTATACTTACAACTGCTTTCAGCTTTCTTTAAATAGTGTTGTACATAAAATTGTATAAAGCTAAAAGCAGGACAATATTTTTAAGAATCTTCCCTTAATACCATAAATTAATCCTGCTTTCAGTAGTCTCAGTTTAGACAGTCCAGTTTTGTGGATAATAACAACCGAATACAATCCTAAGTTGCATTCAGAGGAAAAACGACTCCAAGTCACATCTTAGAATTCTGCTCCCTTAAAATACAATCCTAAGTTGCCTTCAGAGGAAAAACGACCCCGTGTCTTATCTCGGAATCCTGCTCTCTCAAAGCAAGTCCTCATTTAGGGCTTATGTCTGTGCCTGGCTCTCCTCAGCCTCAGCCGTGTTTAAGAGGTTTCACGGCACCACCGAAGTGATAACTTTTTATTATTCACCTCCTATGTGGTGGAGGGTGTCAGAGGACACTCCCCCTGACCGGAACAGGGCGCCAAACGTTTCTTCAGCTGACTTCGGAGTAACTCATGACAATCCTCCTTAGAAACCAAGACTCTCACGTTTGGACGGAGTGCACAGATCCAATGAACTGTGAATCTCCTGCCCATCAAATTACAGTGGTGCCGAATGAAGGGTTTAACTTTCTGCTCAGCTGGTGCTGCCTTTCAGTGAGGACCCAGCCCATCTGCGCCTGCTCACGCTGCTGCGGGACAGCAAACTCAGCTGGCTCCCTCCTTCCAAACTACGTGATGTTTGCTGATGCCTGCACAATTTAATGTCACACAAATTCCATGAAAGATTATGCCCTCTATCACCAAATGCCTCCAGCGGGGAAATATAATCAGGTTATAAAAGATTTGTGTTGCACGGCAGTGGACCTACTAGACTCCTGTCGTCTTAGTAATAAAACAGAATACCAATAGAGAATCAGACCAATTTCACATAAGAAGTACTGTCTGTTCAGCTAACAGAAGCTTTCAGCAAAAATGATTTTTAAAAGTTCTCTTAGGTGGAAGCACAGTATTTACTGTGTTTATATAATGATGCTTCATCTTTTCTGCTTTTAATTTTTCCTAATAACTTATTTGAAGCTATTAAAATTACATTCACAGATAATAATTTTTAAAAAGCAGATCTCATCTGGTACTATTTCAATGTAGAAATAGATTCCTGGGAGAAACTGTACTTCTTCTCCTTTAAAGATTTTTCTTCTATTAATAAATATCCTAGGTTACAAATATTCTGTATCTAAATGAATTACATCCAAAATAATAATGTGTTTGGCTGTGTATACATATGTTTGTTTGCTTATGTGTGTGGATAAACATTCCATATGCTAAATATATACACATATGAGACTTCTTCCATTTGACAGCATGCCAACAGTAAAGCTTATGCCAGACTGGTAGCAAGTATACAAGAAAGAGAAGGTTTTCAAAAACCTGAATACAATGCTGACCACCGTATGCTACTCTGGAGTTGTCAAGAGTAGAAACGCTGCAATGGGAAAGTGTCATTTAGTCTAGTCTCTGCAAAAATCAAGTTTGAAACAAATTACTGTTTGTTTCAAAAAGTCTCCTAGACTCCACAGCTGACATCGCTGAGTGGCCTCTGCAAGTCTGGGCAGTAGTGCCGTGCAACGCTGGGAACTGTCACCCCCCAAGGCGAGCTGTGTACACTTTTGAACCTGATAGGCCTTAGCTCGTTATTATGTGTATTACTGTATTCAAAATAAATCAACAAACAAGCAGAAAAGGGCCTCAGGAGGTGTAAATTCCTGATGCACACTGCAGCCTTGTCTGCTAGTCTCTTAAATTGATTCTCTCAGATCTCCAGGTTTGATGACACTGAATCAGTGACTTCTAATTATGACAGGCACAAAAAAAAGAATGCAAATCAATGACAAGGAAACACTCCTCGGGGCCAGGGCTGTGCTCCACGTGGTGGCTCTGAGGTGCCTACTGCCAGAACGCGGCTGTTAGGATGACCTGGGGCCCTGGACAGACTCTGTACACAACCCACTGCCTATAAAATCTCCGGCAAGTGCTACAGCCTCTAGGCTAAACCCTGCTTTAAAAGCAAATATAGGCTGAGTATCCCTGATCCAAAAATCTAAAATTGGAAATGTTCCAAAACTCAAAGCTTTTTGAACGCTATTGATGCTCAAAGGGATGTTTGGATAAGGGATTAGAGGTGTTCAACCAGTAAGGATAATGCAAATATTCCAAATCTGAAAAAAATCCAGAATCCAAAACACTTCTGGTCCTAAGCATTTTAAATAAGGGATACTCAACCTCTAATTCCTGTTCTCAGAACTTCAGAGAGCTTTGGCCCCAGTGAAAGGCAGAGTCCTTATCTATTAGGGGCACATAATAAATATTTACAGGTGAAAGAATGTGGTATTTGAGCTCCATGTCGTAATATAATAATAATAATGAAGAACACCTACAGATGAAACATCACCACCTGGGCACTGATGACAGGAAGGTGAGTGACAGATATGAGGTTCCTAACACTACAGTGTCTACTTTTGTCCACTGAAAAGGCAAAAAAAGAATTTACCTTTAAAAATATGAGAATGTTTTATTATAGAGAAAAACAGGACTGTTAGAAAACATATTGATGTAGTATCCTACTGAATATTCTTCAAATACAATGTTTATTGAATAATTTTTTACAAATAACTCACTAGTAAAATGTAATATGAATAAATGACTTAAGCACACTATGCCTTCTACGATTTCACTCATGTAGAAATGCTCATCAAAGACGATTTCCTGATTCGTATATTCGAACGGATGACTGAAGTAGGAGGATGTTAAGACCACCGAGAAGTGTGCTAATTTACAGACGGGAACACACGAGGCTGGGGTGGACTCATGGCACGGGATGTGTGTGGAAGCAGATCCCACACAGGAGGAACCCACTTACCTGTGAGTAGGAGTCCCTGACATGGCTCTGGATCTCATCCATTGTGTCGGCTCCATAGGACACGGTGCCCAGGTGGAGCCGCTTAAACACCATTTCATTCTGGGTGAGGGTTCCTAGGATAAAGGGGACAACAGCAAACACATTAATGCAGGAGGTCTCGGGGAAGGCCCAGCTTTCCTACTGCACACACTGCACACCCACGTGCTGAAGCAGCTGGGATGCCCGACAGTATAATACAAAGTAGCATTAAGATTGTTACTTGCTACTATTTTCATTTTAACAGGAAGAACCAGGTATTTTCTCCCTAGCATGTCAAGGTACTCTTATAACATTTTTGTGGGGATTTTTTTTCTTTTTCTTTTTTTTTTTTTGAGACTGGGTCTCACTGTGTTGTCCAGGCTGGAGTGCAGTGGTATTACCACAGCTCACTGCAGCCTCCACCTCCTGGGCTCAACTGATCCTCCTGCCTCAGCCTCCCGAATAGCTGGGACTACAGGTGCATGACACCACACCCAGCTAATGTTTTTGTTTTTTGTAGAGGCAGGGACTCCCTACGTTGCCCAGCCTGGTCTCAAACGATCCTTCTGTCTTGGCCTCCCAAAGTGTTGTGATTACAGACGTGGGCCACTGCGCAGCCAGCCTCTAACAACGTTTAATAATGGGAAGGACTCCAGTTATACGAAGAAAGTCCAGTCATTACCTTTCAGCTCAGAGCTGTTATTTGGAACAAATGCAACTTTCGCCTGTTCTGAAAGAGGCAGGCATAAAACTAGAAAACTGAGTCACCACCTTTATAATTACAATATAGAACACTGCCTGAAAAAGACATCAACGTGCCCCAAATGAGGGTGTCCATTAATTTTTTTAAAAAATCTGTTTCAAAAAATTAGGTCTTTTTAGCTGAACAGAAACGGATATTTCAGATGTGTTTAATCCTTAGCATCTATGTGCATCCCTTGGAATGACAGACAGGAGGTCTGTGAAACAGACGGCTTTTCTTTAGTATTTTCCAAATACTGGGTTATCTGAATGTGCCTCCCCAATGCCTGCTCCTCAGTGGACCAAGGCAGAAGGACCACAGTGCTTACTTAGGAGGACTGCCAGAAAAGTTGGGCCATGTATTAGGTGACAAAGAGATCTCACTTAACCTAAAAATACACATATTACATATGCATGTTTTATTTATTTGGCTTTATAGAAGCAAAGTAGCACAGGGAAGCTCAAATACCCTCTGGATATGTATGTAGCGAGCTGCCATGCGTGGTGCTTCCACCTTGCCCCAGAGGTGGGCAGGGTGGTGTCTGCACTTAGATCACAATATGCTGTGATGCTGCGTGGTGCTTTCACCTTGTCCCTTGTCCGGGGGAGGGGTGGATTCTGCATTTATTTCACAACATGCTGCAATGTGGTGCTTTCACCTTGTCCCTTGTCCTGGGAGCAGGGCGGGGGTTCTGTACTTATTTCACAGCACATCCAAGAAGGGTTATCCACGGCTACTGACGACGTTATAAATCTGAGTATGAACAATGACACAGCCAATCGATTGCAATAAAAGTTGGACTTTCCACATGGTTGCAAAACATCCATTAAAATATTCACTCATTTTTATGTTCTTTGGCATGAGTGGTACTGGAATATAACCCAAAGCATTTTCATGTCTATGGTACCCTCTAATGGCATGAGGATTAGAGCACAGAGTTAATCCCAAGACATCAGTTAGGATCACAGCACAACAGGTCACCTGGCTCAGAGCCTTCCATCAGGACACAGCACTTACTTTAAAAGAGAAGGAAAATACAGCTTACAATTACTATTTTAGAGATTGTTTTGATAAATTCTCTTAAGAGAGATATAATAAAGTTTTAGAAATTCCAAATAGCAGCTAACTATCTACCTGAGATACCTGTCAGTTTTATAGATTTTGCCTTCCACAACGTTTTTTTTTTTTTTTTTTTTTTTTTGAGACGGAGTCTCGCTCTGTCGCCCAGGCTGGAGTGCAGTGGCCGGATCTCAGCTCACTGCAAGCTCCGCCTCCCGGGTTTACGCCATTCTCCTGCCTCAGCCTCCCGAGTAGCTGGGACTACAGGCACCCGCCACCGCGCCCGGTTAGTTTTTTTTTTTTGTATTTTTTAGTAGAGACGGGGTTTCATCGTGTTAGCCAGGATGGTCTCGATCTCCTGACCTCGTGATCCGCCCGTCTCGGCCTCCCAAAGTGCTGGGATTACAGGCTTGAGCCACCGCGCCCGGCCCACAACGTTTTATGAAGCACCTTTAAACTGGCTGTGCTCTGTGTACCTTGAAAAAATGTCTCCAAGTTTCATAAATCTAAGTGGAAACAAAATCATCAAAATTACATGACAGGTAGTTTAAACCTTTTTATTTTGTCATGCTACCCTTGTTAAATAAGTATAATTAAAATACTAGGCTATATTAAATAATGCAGTTAGCAGCAATTTGGTCTCCGAATAACATAATGAATTTCTACAAGTGCTTTATATTTTTGTTTGTTTGTTTTCTGAGACAGAGTCTCACTCTGTTGCCCAGGCTGGAATGCAGTGGCATGATCTCGGCTCACTGCAACCTCTGCCTCCCAGGGTTCAAGTGATTCTCCTGCCTCAGTCTCCCCAGTAGCTGGGATTACAGACGTGCGCCACCACGCCCGGCTAAATTTTGTATTTTTAGTAGAGCCGGGGTTTCACCATGTTGGCCAGGCTGGTCTGGAATTCCTGACCTCAGGTCATCTGTCCGCCTTGGCCTCCCAAACTGCTGGGATAACAGGCATGAGTCACCACACCTGGCCTATGAGTGCTTTAAATAGCAAAAATGTGAGATGAAAAATGATAGTTTTATCATTGCCAACAGTTAAAAGATAATGAAACCTTCCATTAATTCATATTAGGGTAACTACAAAGTTTACCTCTATTATGTGTGCCTAAGTAAGCAGCTCTCTGAAAATTTAACAAATGTGCTAAATTAAAAACATGTTATTTAGCAGATTGAGATAACAAAAGTATTTCCTTTAGACTTTTTTTTCTTACACTGAGTGTGAAGCATGATAATTTAGGGTGAGGAATCGTAATGAGGCATAAATCCTATGCAATTTGTAAACAGGACTATATGCCACTTTTTAAAATCCAACTTTTTTATTACGAACCATTTCATATGTAAAGTTAAAAGAATATTATAATGAACACCTGTATAGCTCTTACCAAGAATGAACAATTATTTCTTTAGGATTTTAAATGACTTTATCCAAGTACACAAAGAACCCTAAAGAAAAAAATAGCATTTCATTTTCCATCCAGTCCTCGCTCGGCATGTTTGTTGGGCGGCTGTGACAGGCTCTGGGTGTGGAGTCAGCTGCAAGTGCAGAAGTTCCACTGGGATGTGAGGTGCTGTTGTCCACGGCCCCCCAGCCCCTGGCTCAAGTCTCAGTGTCCTCACAAACAGGTTTGTGTCCTCACCGCAACCACATGCAACCCACAGCCCAACCTCGCTCTCCCTCAACAGCCTACACCTCTCTGTCCCTCAGCACCCGCTGAGACATCCGAAAGGGGCCTGTCTGGCCCCTCTGGCCTCTCCCGACGGGCACCTTCCCCGAGAAGGGCAAGGCCTCCCACTCAGCCTCCTCACTGTGCAAGCACTGCAGGGTGGTCCAAGGATGACATGAGGGCACCCAGGTGACACGCCTGACCCAATCAGTCCTGGATAAATGGGAGCTGCTCTTCCGCAGCCACCATCACCACCACCATCCTTTCCTCACTTTTTGGATTCAACAACCTCCCAAATGTTCTCATCCTCTTAATCCCGCCTCAGACACGGAGTGAGCCCCTCCTGAAGCGCCTTCGCTCTGCCCTCTCACCACGCGTCCTGACTGCAGCCTCTTCCGTGGCTTCCTGAGCTCAGCTCCAACATTCTTTAACCTATCTTCCCAGCAATGCTATTTCCAAAGACAAACACCTCCTCATTCTAGTGCATTGCTTTTAGTGACCACCCGTGCCTTGCCACTGCTTACAAATCTACGCATCCACTCCTAAGACGGAGACAAGGCTCTGCACAGCCCGGCCTACAGCTGCTCCTCGTGGCCCAGCACAGGGCTCCGGAGAGCTGCCCGTGTGCAGCAGGAGCTACAGTGCTCCAGACAGTGATTCCCACATTCCCATAAATACCAACTTAACTGAGAATTTGTGTATTCTCATGAAAAGGCATCACTACCCATTGAGCTTGGGAGTAGATAACCCTGGGTCCAAATCCTGCTGTAACCTGCAGGCCTCAGAACTTCCTAAGAGTTGATTTAAGCTCTCCAAGCCTCAGTTTATTCACCTGTAAAATATGGAATACACCTCATATGTTGCATGGATACTGCAAGACAATGCACAAAGTGCCCCAAACACAAAGAGGGTGAGGGCGCCTTTCCTAAAGAACCCCACAGCATAATGGGGAGAGAGACTGCAAGAGATCACGCTACTGAGAGGCACTAATGCAGGGTCTGCGAGGTGCACTCACAGGAGACTGCAGAGGGGGGCAGGGACTGCTCCCAGGAGTGGTGGCATCTGACCTGTGACTTGAAGGATATGAATTTACTAGCGGTTTCCACAGGAGAAGCGCTCCAAGAAGAGGGAGCTGTATGTTCTTGGCTCGCACATGGGTCTGGGAGCAAAGACAAATGCCTGTGAATGGAAAAGACACACTCAGGAGAAGGGGCTGGAGAGGGAGGAGTGGGCGAGGAGCTCTCTAGGTCCCATTAGGGGAGCACCGTAAAGCAGAGTCTCCCGTCCACCAAGAGGGCATACAGAGCCAGGCTCAGGAGTCCTGGCTTCATTCTGGATGGACCCCATCCAGGTAACAGAGTTAACTGAGGCATTATTCTAAGGACAGAGTGGCGGGGGTCAAATGTAGGGGAGAGAGCTGGTATCAAAGTCTAAGTGAAGGATGATGTGGCAGCAGGCATCAAGATAGAAAGGAAGAGGCAAATGCATGAAATCTTCAGAAGTCTAGAAAAGAGCATTGACTGGGCTTGGGAACCGAATGTGGAGCTCTGGATCCGAGACCTCGAAGAGCGGCTCAGGCTGACTGCCTTGCTCAGCGAGGCCGGCCCTCAACAAGAAACAGG